ACATGCTGTCTGGTTTAGTGAGATGTGGCTGCACTAATGCCTAGTGCAGGCTAAACTTGGTAAAGCAACGTTAGTCTATGCTGCACATTCTGGACAGACTCCCTAGAATTATAAGTGCCTAATCCCTTGAAATTTAATTAGGACTGGAAGTCAATCAAGTCAACTTTATTGTCAAGTATGCTATACATGCCAACATACAGCATAGATGAAATTTCATCTCTCGACCATGTGCAACACATCTTATCTAATTTACGAATTGTTGTGTTTTGCTACCTTAGAATGAAGACATTTTTATCTACAGATGCCAAATGAAGACTGTCAAGCTTGACCAGCATGGCTCTGTCCCAGTTCTCTAAAGATTCTAGTGCATCTTACCTTGTACAGTCACATAGTTTAATGATTAATGTTACACAACGTGTTTGTGCTCCAATGTTTATATATGTGAATATAACTTGAGACGGTACTTTTCTTTAAAGAAAGGGCTCTGTCTGTGTTGGTAACCAGACATCTCAATCATAAACATTGGTATAACCAATCAGACAGATAGTAAATTGTAAATGGACCTGTACTTGTTAACCCTTTCGTCTTCCGACCACTCAAAGCGTTTTACACTACGTGCCACATCACCCTTTCACACAATACACTCAGTGATGCAACAGTCCATCGAACAGTAAACTAACTCATTCAATACAAATTCACACACCACATCGGGAGCAATTTGGGGTTCAGTATCTTGCTCAAGGATACTTCGACATGTGGCAGGAGGAGCAGGAATCGAAACCAACAACCTTTCAATTGGGGGACGACCTGCTCTGCCTCTGAGCCACAGCCGCCATAATCATACAGATGTGGTCTGTATGATTATACTGTAGCTGCCTGCTGTCGTATTCAGTGGATTTAATGAAGGTAAACACAGTAAAGAACCATGTGTAACTGCTGTAGCGCAACACTTCGCAGAGGCTGCGGATTTCAACATATCAGTCCTGGAGTGATTTCATGAACTGAAGGAGAAGCTGTTCATACAGTATAAAGCAACTGACTGAAGTCCTGACCGACATCTTCAACCTGTCACTGGCCCAAGCAGTTGTCCCTACCATCGCCTACCATCATGAAGTGCTTCAAGAGGTTGGTCCTGACTCACCTCAAAACCAGGCTACCACCCACACTGGACCTCTTCCAATTCACCTACCGCCAGAACAGAAGTACAGAAGACGGCATCTCTATAGCGTTACACTCCGCCCTCTCCCACCTGGACAACAGTAACACCTATGTGAGAATGCTGTTCATTGATTTCAGTTCAGCATTCAACACCATCATCCCCTTGGGTCTGATCACCTCCCTCTGCAACCGCTTAGCTTACTGCTTTGCACTTCTACTTAGATGCTTAACTGCATTTCATTGTCTAGTACTTGAACTTTGTGCAGTGACAATAAAGTTGTATCTAATCTAATCTAAAAAATTAAATAATATCTTACTGTAAAAAAAATCAATAAAATGAAAAATATTGCTGACATCAAACAGTAATCCGACAGTATCAGTCCTTCCTCATGTCCTCTCAGACTAATGATGAACTAATTATTATAAGTATATTATAAATGTTTTAATACCCTTCTTGATACTACTTGATTGTATCAATTTTTTGTTTGATGTTGGGAAGGGCCTTGTATAAGCTCTTTTGGGTTCTTTGTTCCCCTCTACATATCCTTTTATTGAACACCTTTTTAAAGATAATTTCATAGTACACAAAACTTCATAAAATTTGCATTACTTGTTTTTAAGATTTAAGTGTTGGAGACTTAGGCCTACCTAAAATGGAAGGCTCAGCTATGATGGTGGTGTCAGACTGGTCTCTCATAACAGGAGAACTGTTGCTAAGGAAGTGGATAGAAGCAGAGCTGGAGGTCAGGTTCATGATGACCAATGGACATCTGGAAGAAAATTGAAGAAAAACAGTCAGTTTTTCAGTTGCGAGCAGTTGGCACCTTGCATGGCAGCCTCTGCCATCAGTGTGTGATGCCAGACAAGATAAGAAATTATTGCCAATATAAAATATAAGTAAGTTGCAAATCCAAATATACACAATTCCAAAAAATATAAACATGTTAATTTTTTTAAACTAATTTAAGTATTTAATCATACACCAGTGGGCCCATATTATCAACCAGTATGGATAAGAACATTCCAGTATTGCTGTTTATTTTGAAGAGTGTGTGTTTGTGAGCCATTTTAATCTAGACCTCCTCCCATCAATGTGCAATTTCCTTTTTTCTTAAAATGATGCAATGATGCCCTATGAGCTATATTTCATCAAAGATATTCAGACCAACTTTGCATTCATCAAAGTGGTGTTCAAATGTATTTTGTTAGTAGATTAATTCAGGAACATACCACATTGCACTGTGAAAGTTGGAATTCCAAACTGAGAGATGATGGGGATACAAGTTAAAGTTTTTTGTGTGTATATTAATGTTGTATCACAAATAGCTCACAAAGAAATATTTAATTCTGAGCATTACTAGTCGAGACTGACTAGACCTCTTAAATCACAAATAGTGACAAATTTAAAAAAGCATTTGAACTGTGTTGTGGTTGTTTTAGTTACTGTGTGGTCATACAGTGGAACTGCCAAAACATATGGCACAGGACATAAGCACATCTCATCTCTGCATAGGTGGCAGGTGAGGCTGAAGACAACAATCTCAATCTCTTCTGATGCATCATTGTTCTTAGCCAGTTTCAAATACGCCACATTGCTGAGAACAATCTCTTACATGCTGCGGTTTCAATGGGTAACAAGAGCCAACTGGAAAAGTTTCTGGTAGTGTGGATAATGTCCAGAGACAAGTTCCCTTTTGAGGCTTTCAGTGGATACACATGTGATTTTTGTTGTCACCCTTAAATGGTAAATGGACCTGTACTTGTATAGCGCCTTTCTAGTCTTTCAACCACTCTTTCACACTACATGACACATTCGCCCTTTCACACACATTCACTCAGTGATGGTAAAGCCCATCGAACAGAAACCTAAAATCATTCAATACAACAGTTCAACTACACAAATGCACGGGGAGCAATTCGGGGGTAAGGATACTTCGACATGTGGCACCAGAGGAGCCGGGTCGAACCTCACAACCTTCTGAATAGGGGTACGACCCGCTCTTCCTCTGTACCACAGCCGCCCCTAATCACCATTATCATCTTAGTCAGTTCAAGTTTAGGATTGATGGAGAGTAGGCTTGCATATTTGCTGATTGGGCTCTCTGCACCTCCGTAGCCACATCCTAACAGTGCATCCACACTTTTTGCAATTGCTATTGAAAACCTAGTTGAACACTGTGTGTCCATGGTCCAAACAGGAGAGTAGAGCTGACTTGCCCATTTTTGTTTCATGCTTTGTGCTGCTGCACTGTTCTGGTCTGGTATTCTATTTGTTAGTGCTGTAAGCTCCGTTGTAACACCTAGCTCTTTCTGAGTCTGTTGAATGCTTGATCAGTCCCTGCTTGTGGTTTACAGGCTGAGAAGGGTGAAAAAAAATCCCATTGCTGTGCAATTTGCTTTTCACCACCAAAAAGTTCAATTTGTGGGCCATGCAATGGATATGGATAGCAAAAGAGATGATGCTGATGCAGTTTTCACTAGAGGCCTTTAACATAGTCAAACATGGTAAATGGACCTGTACTTGTATAGCCTTTCTAGTCTTCTGACCACTCAAAGCGCTTTTATACTAAATGCCACATTTGCCCTTTCACACAGCGATGGCAAACATCGAACAGAAACTAACGCATTCATACATCATAACGGCTGCCCCATCATAACTCTGTGCGACAATGGGTAAACTGTATAGTCCACATTGCAATGCTAAATATGACCATAAGGCACCTCTGTTTCCTGATCCTTCAGAACAATCCCCAAATCAGAGAAATTGTTCCTTAATTTCGAGCCTCTTCCATCATTTGCTCCTGCTTAAAAGAGCGTGTTTAAAATCCACTCTCAATGCGAATGATGTGGTTTTTTGTGGTTTTAACTATTTCCAACAATTCAGAGTGTTGTGGCTAGTAAGATTGAAGGGACAATTCAACCTAGAACTGAAAGCCACTTTGTGCTTTGCAATACAATTTACATAGCTCCAAAAACGTTTCATTTACCCGGCTATCCCTTTCATCATACCCTTGTAGAAGAAGCCCTTGCTTGCTAAAATACAGCAAGATCCACAATAGTGGCTGAATATTCCCCGTTGCACTGAACAGTTTGTAACTCCAGCAACATAAAAAAAGATAGGGTGACACTGACCATTCATTGTGTAGCATGCACAGTAGCCAGCAGTACATTTAGGGAAGGTATAAGGCTAAAAACACACCGGTGCCAAACAACTCGCATGCCACAAAGTTAAAACAGTCACATCTGTTGAAGACTGTTGAAAAAAAAGGGGCTGCTGTAGCACAGAGACAGAGTGGGTCATCCCCTAATCGGAAAGTTGTTGGGTTAGGGTTAGGTTAATTTAAGTTTATCTCTTATACCAAACTAAGACATTGTTAAGCAATCTT